ACAACCCGTTTGTGCTCTTTAACAAAGGTCTTCAACATTTCTTTTACAAAAATCACAATTTTAATTCGGGAAAAACTTGAGCAAACTACACCTACGTTTCCCAAAGCTTGAAAGGTCAGAAGTGCTGAATCTGAAGCAGTCATTTGATATGCTCCTGTTCCAATGGCAGGAATGGCTATGGAATGAAGACCTTTCGAATGAGCAAGGTAGAGACACTTTTCAAGGCAGGCTTTGAGATGCTGTTTATCTGAAGACCGTGGTACCAAGTGGATAATATTACTTACTGGCAAGTTCCCGCCACTAGTCATCACAACCGATCCACCTGGTTGGGGTCCAAGATCCATGCACTCTCGTACCACGCGCCCTCCAGCAGCTCTTGCTACTGCTTTACTAAGTGCCCCAGCTCTGGACAAGTCCATGTCTTTTCCAATGATGTTAACAATGGCATCCACTCTCTGTTCTGTAAGATTACCCTCAACGACCTCAATCTTCTTCCACCATGTTTGAGCCTCAACAGTATTTCCTGACTTAGCTACACTTCCACAGCGTAATTGCAAACTGCTCATCTCCTGTTGGAAGGCGGTAATGAGATTTTGATCCTGGTCAAAGATAACGAAGCGAACGTCCTTTACAGAAGAATGTGGGTTGTTGTCACAGAAACTGACCACTTCGTCCAACATAATCCTGGAAGCTTTGCGTTTGGGGAATAGTAAATTTCCAGTTCCAATCACAGGGAAAGCAATGGAGTTTGCACTGAGCTCATCGGATTTTCGTAGTGATTTTCGAACAATGGATCCTAATGCCTAGATGGGAAAAAAATAAGACAGCCAAAATTAGCATGATAGAAGTGGTTTCCTTAATAAGCAAGACTGGGAGTCGTAAAAGTTCATGAGTTACCGGGTTATAATCAGAAATGGTTCGTGTGGTTTCGGCAAACATATGTACCCCAGCAATGAATTTAAGTAGAATGAATCTAAGGGAAACTTTCCAAAGATCCTGAGGTGCTACGTCCCTGGAAGAGGAGGGGGGTGAACAAATAGATGCAGGACTAGCGTTCGAAACGTCTGCTTCAGAAACTCTTTACGGTGGCCAATTTACATCATCAACTTTGCTGATAAAACCAAATTATAAATGAATTGTTCGTACTCTAACTTATGCTGAATAGTCCTCGTCAGCCTAAGTAATTTGCCTGGTGCCTTTCATAGCAGGAATTCGTAATCACTTAAACGTCTCAAGCTGCCATTAATTTTTCTCTGAAAATTGTACCAACCGTTTCTCCGTTTCCTCCATTCCACTCAGCACAGTACGTGTGAATCACGTGAGTACAAGGCAATTGAAATCCCGGTGAAACTTCAATCTCTCCAGGATTTGGTGTCACTAATCGCATTCTTGGACCGGCAGCACGCCTGATCGACCTCGCGCATGCTCCTTGGGAGGCCACCACTATATCGGCCTGAAAAATGAGTGCGAAAGTAAAAGTGTAAGATAATCACTGTTGTAGTGTATGATGTCCCTTGTTGGTTTTACTCTCTTAAGAGGCGGGAATTAAGTGGAAGCTATTTCATCAAGGCGGAATCTTTCAGGACGTAAAGTATTCCCTGAGCAACAAAATAGAAGATCACACAAAGTGTTCATGGTAATCTTGCGTATGACTGCATGGTCACGTTAGACTCAAATTACCTGCTCTTTGACAATATCCCCAGCCCTCCATGAGATGCTGTGTCCCTGGGTCGTAACATAGAATGAAGCACTGCTCTGTTTAACCAAGCTCAAAGCAGAGTTGTCTTCTGTCACTTCGTCATCTTCGCTCTCTGTAGAATCTGATTCAAAAAGTGCTGTCTTGCTTGCAAGACTCTCTGTTCTAATTTTGGCCATCGTTTTTTCGATACAAATTACACATTTCAGGTCCTTTTCGATCTTTTCCACAAGATTGTCCGCCTTGCCATCGGAAAAGAACTTTCCAAGGCCTGCTTGCCTTAGTTCAAGTTTTTTAGTCACGAATCCTTCAATAAGGCGATCCAGCATATGGCTTGCGGGATTCAAACCGTCATCTCGCCCCGAAATGATAAACTTATCACCAGCTTGTCCGTCAAGGATCGTGATGTCATATTTCGTTTGTATGGCAATGAAATCGCTTTTGCAATGCTCTCTTAAATATCTCTTGATTTGCTTTGAGGGGCATAAGAAGTTCTTTCTTGATATTTTCACGGCTCTCTTTTTGATGAACAACTGCAACTTTTTGATGGAAAACTCAACATCTCTTGAGAGACCCCCAAGCCACGTTCTGCCAGTTTCATCTCTACGAATTGCAACTGTACCATCTTTTTCGATCTCGTCGCAGGCCTGGTTCCATTCAGGCGTAGTTGTTAATACAAGATCTTGATCTTCGATTTTAAGAACGGCTTCTGCTGTAAATCTCTTAATAAGATTGTACGCCTTCTCCGCTTGTTCCGATGAAATTCCAGTTACCTTTGCGGCGACGACGCGCGAAGTTGACTCGTCCTCCTCGAGGACAAACACAGCGTCTGCCTCATTTTCTGCCATTTCGTCTTTGATTGCCTGCAATGCTGTATCAGTGTTAAGCACTTGCAAGATATAAGGAGGAAACTGTAATTTCTTGTCAGTTACCTCAGCGTTAAGCATACAATATCTTGTTATAGCATCTGTTACCTCGTCCGTCGGCCCTTTAAATAGTATTTCGTCGCTTTCGTCGTCAATCCTCACTATCAAATCTTCGAATTCTTCTTCGAGCTTGTCTTCGAAGTTAGTTTTTTTCAGCAGCTGAATTCTTTCTTTCGGGACATTTGGTATATTTTCCGTCCGATAGTTTTGTTTTCTCTCTAGCTGGTAGATGTGGGATAGTGCTTCTTGAAATATTTCTTCATGGGACTCTTTATCTGATCTGAGAGAAACCATCCTCAGATAGAAACCAGAGTTTCCCTCAGAAATTTTAACAAGTGGAGGATCATCCCCTATAAAATCGCAAACATTTGCCAAGGAACCCGAGTCTAGACTGTTCCATATTTCTTCTTCTATTGGAACATGCCACTGTACAAACTTTTCGAGAAACGCCTGCACTTCGTCAACGCATAGGGAAGGACAACAATTGCCCTCAGGGTCTCCATTGCACTGAATAAGAGCATGCTTGCCACCAGCTTTCCAATCTAGATCACATCGTCTCTTTTCAAGTAAATCTTGTAAATCGTTAAAGTGTAATGAGTTATGGATAAACTCCATTACATCAGGGTTAACAGCTAAACATAACGTTTGCTTGGCTGTCTGAATTGGTTGTTTGGTTGCTATATATTGTTCAGATCTGTCACGAGGAGGCGAAGAATCCACGTGTCCCACTATATCTTCCTGGTCAAGATTTGGAAATAGCCCATGAAATACTGTTACTATGAGATCCTGTCCATCCAAAACATGTGGTCGTTCTGTCTGTCTCGCTAACACCCGTTCCATGTCTGTAAGTTAAAGGTTCAGCTGATAAGTACTAAGCAGTATTCTAGCCTGCCCCTGGCAACCCTGATTAAGTATCATCTCATGTCAACGCTATTTTCATTTTTGAATGTTTCAAGCGACGAAGTGAATTGAAGAGTTCAAAAATTCCTAGGTAAACCTATTTCATCGTTGCGTGTCGTTTCTCTGAAAGTGATCATGACAAATGGCCTGACAAATCATGAAAGCCGATATCTCTCTTTTAAACGTTGGCACAGCAACTTAGCGTGGCCGATGAGGAGCTGATTTTAGAAAAGTGTTATCGTGATAATCATTAATATTTTTTTAATATTAATTACCTTTTGCGTTGTTGAAAACAACAACAGCTTGACCTCTTTTTTCTGTAAAATGAACTGTATCCACTGGACCGCCTCCACTGCGAGGACTCTCGAAATACAACTTCACGAAATCATGAGAAGTATCGAGGGATAAACCACTCACTATTACACTGGTGCAAGGAGAGGCTGGCGTTATTATGATTTTGCTGCCATCTAACGTTCGTCCCCCACACTTCTCTTTCATCTTTGCAATGTCTGAAAATACATTCAATTATTAAAAATCTTTCTCCCTTTACAAGTTACATAGTATCAAGACAGGAGATACTCAAAATCTTAGTAAATCTTGAAATATCTGAGACAAAACATATCTAGATGACTGAGGGATGACAAAGTGTCTCGTTACCATGAGGGGGAGTAAGTCCGGTACGGATTCTATAAAATGCAAATATACCACGCGCAAAATCTAACCATTCAATAATAAATGATTCAATCGATATTTACAATATACTAACGAAACAAACCTTTAATTGGGAATTCCATGGTAACCAAAGTGGTCCCTTCATTCAATGACGTGATTTCTTTGACTTGTCCACCACTTATCACCTCAAAAAAGTTTAACAATGCATCCTTTGTTGTTCTCGTGTTTAATCCTTTGACCAAAAACGCGTCTGTATGATACGCTTCAGAGTCAGATGACAACAGATGTGGTAATGACGCGTCATCAGGGTCTCCTGGGATAAATTGACTTTCTGAAAAACTTTCCTCATGCCTGGCCCTTGCGTCGATGAACAGTTCTCTCTTCAGATTCTCACTTCGTTCATCATAAACTTGCCAAGAGGGCTTGGTTAATGAAACTGATGAATGCACATTGCTCTCAACATGATGGCTCGAATAGATGATGGAATTTCTTAAATGCGACGTGTTAGATTCGTACCCTTTGATATCCTGGCCACAAACTAATTCAGATTCATAGTCATATAAATCGTCGTACACCTCATCCCCATCATACCACCAATTTGTGAAGTCATCTTCCTCCACATACTTTTTCTCTTCTCCTTTCTTTTCCAATTCTTTTTGCACCTCTTCATAATCATCGCTATCGTCATCGTCATATTCTTCTTCTTCTTCGGTTTCTTTCTCTTCCTCGTCCTCTTCCTCGTCTTCTTCCTCCTCGTCGTCTTCTTCTTCCTCTTCTTGTTCTTCCTCTTCTTCTTCTTCTTCTTCTTCTTCCTCCTCTTCCTCTTCTTCCTCTTCTTCCTCTCCTTCTTCCTCCTCGTACTCTGCCTCTTCTCCTTCATTATCTTCCTCATCCTCCATATCATCTTCCACAACATAGTTTACGCTAATATAATCATGATCATCAATGCCATAGTCTTTCCCTCTTATCTTTTCCTGCTCGTGCTCCATTTCATCTCCATTATCTTTGCCACCATCATCACCATCATTATCATCCTGCTGATCTTCTTTATCCTTCTTCTCCCCCTTTTCATCCGCCCTTCCCTCTCCTCCAAGCTCTTCATCGGCAAAGTTGTCTCGTTTTCGTGTGCAGCTGTCAAACCAAGACCATTCCTCCTCGTCTTCATCTCCTTCCTCTTCTTCTATGTCTTCTTCTTTTTCCTCCTGAATTTTAGCCGCCTTCGAGTTCTGTTTTGCGTAGTCTTCAAAGTAGAGGTCAGCACACCCGTCGTTATCGTCTCCTCCCTCCTGTGTTTCATCAGTCTTCGAGTTACGTTTTGAATAGTCTTTATAACAGAAGTCAGCATACGTATCGTCATCGTCTGTGTCCTCCGGTATTTCATCAGTCCTTGACGTATGTTTTGCATAATCTTCAAAGCAGAAGTCTGCATACGAATCGTCAATTCCATATTCATCCTTAACTCCTTCTTCTAAAGAATAGCAGACATCACCACTCCCATAACAATCACACTTCTCTAGAGCTGGGTGAACGTTTCGCATATTTTCGTGATCAACCTCAACGTTTAGTGCTCTGCTGCTCTGGACGTCATTAAATTTGGCACAAATAGTTCCTTCATGAACAATTTCACGGCCACCGGAACCATCATATTCAAAAGTGTTAGAACTATATTTGCCAGAGCGTAATTTTCCATCAGTAGGTACAATGCTTTCTATTCCAGTCTCAGCACTTGAGTGAAATTCTCCCCCACGGTGGCTATTGCTATTACTGCTGCTTTTTGGACTGCTGTTAGCATCCTTACCAGAGACCTGTCCAATGGCACGAGCACTTAAGCCAGTGATGATAAAGTCACCCTCAAAATCATTATCTCCAATGGTATTCCTGTCAATAACTGGGGTAATTTCATTGTCAGCACTGACACAAATGGCATTACGAACATTTTCAGTGCCGCTCTCGTCTTTCTCGAGGCCGCGAGTATGTGCAAACGAGCCGATGCTAACACTTTCTACCAATGCAAATGGAACAGCATCACCATCATTTCTATCGTCATTAGTTTCGAGGCTGGCATGAGTATTATTCTTAACAGCAGTAATATTTCCAGTGTTATCAAGACAACTGTCAGCGCACTTTTGTACTTCTCTGAAATCAACATTTCCAATGTTCTTTCTATCACAAGTATCAGATGCGAAGGCATGATGGCTACCAGCGAGTTTCAAGTTCACAGTTGCACTTTCATCCATAGCAGGCGAATTTGTCTCATTCAATTCAATGCCGCTCTTGCAATTTTCACCATTCTTGCATGCTTCCGTACTGCCAACGTTCTTATTGCCCCCTGTGGAACTCACGACTTGCCCACTCCTGTCGATATTGTCAGTACATGTCATGCTAACACCCCCGATGTCAACAGAATTTCTTGTATCGCTGTGTCCATTATTTCCAGCTTTGGTAACACTTTGATGTCCAATACTTGGACTGTCGCCTTTAACAGAGCCTCCATCAATTTTGTAAGCATCTATCGAGCGGACTGAGTCAAAATTTGAAACATCTACGCTCTCTTCTGTTTTGACGGGAAGGGTTACGATAACATCGTCGTTGCTGACGATTTGTCCAGCATAATTATATAATATCTTCGTGGCAGCATCGGAGACATCTCTTTTAGGGGGGGATGGCAAAAGAACGGGTGATTTCTCGAGTGCCAACTGTACTTGTTCAGGAACAACGTCAAAAGAAAGGCTGATTTCCTGAGTGCCAGAAATTCTGTCACACGATGTAGTCCTCAAGACCTTCACGGAATTTGCCTGAACTTCCTTTCCAGGCTCAAAAACATCAGTAAAGCTTTTTCTACGAACACAGGACTCTAGCTCAGTATTCTTTTGTGGTGAGAAAGGGTTTCTCTTTTTCTCCTGGATACTGTTATCTACAAACATATGAATTAGATAAAACAGATAGTGTGTATCAATAGGCAAGAGTATACCAAGGCTAAAACGTTAAAAACAAATCGTGTCCAATAATTTTTCGCAATTTCACTTCTCTTTCTTTATTCTGTGCTAAGGTAAATCTTGCCACCAACCTTCTGACTTATTTGAGTAAGTGTACTTCAGCCTACACCTCTACAACTATCTACTGTTACAGTTATCCTTCCTAATTTTTGTTTAATGTGTGAAGGGATATTGTAGATAAATACCTTTTCACTCACTCTCTTCCCTCCCCTCCCTGCTCTACTAAAGGAAAGAACACTTACCGTCTTCAAAAGACAACTGTGCGTACTCGTTATCTTGACTTTTCTTGCTGAAAGGCATTATAACGAAGAACACAATCAGTGGTGAGCAGGCAAAGGCGGCCAGAAGCGAAAGGCAAGCTATCGTACATGTTCCATGATCGTTGGTCAAACAGCTTCAGTTGATCTTTCATTGTTAGTAAACGGCTTTATGTGATGATCGACAGAAACAGACTTCGCAACAAAGTCAGAGCAGATATTGACGAAATCAAATGAGTAGTGGATTCTTTTATGTTGTTCCCCGTGTTTATTCCATGGAGGCCGGAAATAAAGTCGTGACAGAAACAATTTCTACCTCCTAATACTTTAAAATGATGGATAAGAAAGCATTAATGTCTTTTCGCCTGTCTTCCGTCTCATAGACCCGCTTGTGGCACAACTTCTTGTCTGGTGTTCTCAAACGCTTTTGATTTGACCAAAAACTATTTGGATATTTAGCAATTTTGAGTCCTCCGTTTCGAGTTGTCTCGACGACGCTTAATGTTTTTAATGTTAAGCTGGGTTAAGAATTTTTCCTTCTGCAAGGGCTTAGGTAAAATCAAATTTATTCGCATTCAACTTTCATGTCGTAATTTTTTATGACCGTCCCATGACTAATGTGAACTGACTCGCGCTATGTAACTTAGATGACATGAAATTTTCGACTCGATGTTTACTAATAGGGTTCAACTTCAGAGTGTTTGTGTTTTTTAGTACACTCGCAACTCAACTGATTATCAGAGCCAGGTATTATTACCCATCTCTCTTACTTCTAGCTTATGTAAAAGCCGGATTTGAACATTTTTATTTTACTGCAGCAAAATATTTGGTTCAAATTGTAATGTTGACGAAGCGCTTTAAAAACTGGGTCTTCGACCTAGTTTGCTTCCTGTAGGTCATGAATATTCTGATCTAGCTCGCATCTCTAGTTATGTTGAATATGAATGTTGTATAATTACCTGCTCTTGCCTCCCATGATGTTTAAGCTTGAAAGAACCGCGAGAAATATACGAATTATTCCTCTGTGTGTGCTTGACGGTAGCTATCCTCCATTAGGTATTTTCCCTTGGTTAAGCTTTCGCGACGTTACATTCGGGAAAGTTCAATGTTCATCTTCGCTCCAATGCACACGCTTTAGCATAAGTTATTGAGAAACGCTTCCGGTTTTTCCGAGAAACTTTTCCTAAATAGTAACCTGGTAGTGATTGGTTACCATCAACGTTATACTGCGCTAAATTTAGGTAAAGCCTACACGTCATCCACAACACATGAGCATGTCACAGTTGACTTAAGCTACTAACTAATGATTTCATAATGAGACTAACCTTATTCAATTTGTTTTCTTCATGTGTACTGAGCGACAAAGTGCAGTTGAAAGCCTGATAAGCCAAATAGGGACAATGTCACGGTTGGGTATGGGCATTGCGACACATTAATTCTAGGAATTCTGCCCATGGTCTGCCACCTTGGATTTCAAAATTCATGTAGATATATGGCTTTGAAGGCATCAAAACCTGATTTAAATACCCTTGTTAACTGATCGAACAAATTCCCTCTCGCTGTATTTGGACATACGGGCCTCTATTTACGGATAATTTTAAGCTATAGACGCCGACTTTGAACAGACTCTATGCATAAACGGTAATAGTTCTCTCGTAACGATAATTTTACCTCGTTTTGCAGCTTTTTTAAGGTAAAATGGGTAAATTTCTGTGGTGCTGCATCGGTGGGGGATAGCCCTTCGTCATCGCTCTGACGAAGCGCCTCGAAAGGGCTAACGCTCGAAACGTCAGCTTCTTACTGTGGCCAATTTACATTACCAACTCGCTTCTAACAGAGTTGTTTATAAGAACTTTGCTCTAAGCATGGCGCTTACAATCTAAATGAACAAGATCACGATTTAGCTAAAAGTTGTGTTCATGTCAACAAACATTTTTAAAACGCCAGTGCCTAACACAACACGTGACTTGTTTTGAATTTTTTTGATAGGTGATCGCGATTGTTTTTTCGATGAACCTCACCCTGATGTTAGCTGTTCTGAGAATCAGCACGGAAGTGATTTTGCCGATTCCTGGAAGGAGAGAGAGAGATCGATCAAGCGAAATTTCACAACTAAGAATGTGATCACTAGACTATGTGTTTACCGTCCATCATTATCACTCGATTTTTTGGCTATATTTTCAAGTGGATAATTTTTGTATTCGTGCAATAATATTGGATAAGCTGGAAGTTTAATTAAAGCGTTTCGAATTCAAGGTAAGCCCTCGTTTCTTTTTGTTGCTGGAGAAGTTTCGAATATTTTTGTTGCTTTATCGTGGTCGGGAGCCGCTTTAGTAGTCGATAAATTGTGAAAATAGTCAGGTGAAGAAATTATGCTCACTAAAGCAAGCACATTGTGTGACGTAGTCCGTGGATTCGAAAGTGAAAGAAAATGTCTTGGGTAAAACCCCAAAACAATATTTGATGCTTTCGCTGGGCGAACTTATGTGCTCTTAACTTTCCATAAATCTTTTACCAAAGATATTACTTCAATACGATTACGAAAAGGTGGCTTAAATATTGGTAAGTGCCTGGTTAGAATAGCTAGCGCAGTCAAGTCTAATTACGAATTCTGTCTGCAACATACTCAAAAATATTGATGCGTACGACAATGTCAGTGGCAAACTGTATCATTAGTGAGGCTTCTAACCTCATCACAATCAGCCTACTGGACATATTCACGAGAATTGAGTTTAAAGAAATAACAATTCATTCTTTATTGTAATCAATCTATTGGACAAGTTCGTGAATTTACTTTAAAGAAATGACAACTTGTGATTATTATGAAGGGACGAGTGATTAGAGACTAACACGACATAAAATATTACTAAAACTGCAGTCGTGTCATGAAACAAGATACAATTCAAGATTTGCGGCTAAAAATGCTTAGCAAAAGGAAACGTAATGGTATTTTCGAAATCGTAGTCAAAGTATGTAACGTTATAACGTTATTTTACTATGCTAGCAAAGCATGGCGACGGAAAACTATGCTCGACGTAAACAATAATTTCTTGTTTACCTCCGCGAGTTCAAATCTCAGGTTTCGTGCCACACGACCAAACCTGGAGGTATTTTCCACGAAGACCTTGTTTCTCTTTGAAATTAAAGATTGTCAGTCGCATTAAAATACCAAAAAGTAGTATTTGAGGGAACTTGCGCCTATTTCTTTCGTGAATTACTAACCCAATATCAAAGACTACTTCCGGTTCAATTTTTTCCTTCTATTTCGAAAGTCGTTTAGTCTCACAATCTGGTTACGTAAGTCTGTGCTTCAGCAAGTAGAACTGCAAGGATATCTACTATGATTCGGTTTTGTGGCACTAGCACTTCACCTTCTTTAACAAACTGATAAAGAAGGAATATGTTCCTATTCACAGAATTAAATCTGATAACATTTCAATAACCCATTATGGCTACCAGGATTTAGTGAAAGGCCCTCTAATTTTCCTTTATTGTCAGGAAATACTGCAAATCTTTGGCTTTTGCATTATTTTTTGGAGTTGATACAAACTTTTTTTACCAGAGTTGTATTTCTTACAAACCTCAGACTATTATTGATGATAACATTACATTTTTTCAAGCTGGGTTTCAGTAAATAAGCTTTTCTTGAATATTTTGAAGACAAATTTTGTTTGTTTTACGATCCACGAAAGTAGCAAAATTACGCTATAATACAATGCATTTTTAACAGGCATGTTAAGCTGGAAAAACGTCTCTGAGTACCTGGATGTACATCTTTACTCACATTGCGATTAGTAGTAACACATTTAAGAGGAAAAAATGACTAAGCTTTTTTTTTTTTTGGTATCAATTATCTAACATGAGACCAAAAGCATTTTGTTCTTTAGTTTTACTCTGAACCAGGTTTTTCAAAGCAGGTTCAAGAGAACCCAGGATTATTGTGAAGTCTGATTTTAGATCTGAAAGCTTTAAAAGAAAATTCAGGATTTTTTTGTTAACAATTTAGTGATTGGATGCTCTAAAAAGAATAGAGAAAATTAAGGGAAAGGCTCATGAACAAAGGAATAAGGAAACTGAGATTAAAAATTTAACCCTGGGTTAGCGCTGATCAGCCTTTGAACAACTGGATCTTTCTCCCCTCTTGACTTATAGGCTAATTATTTGGGGGAAAACACCTAATACCCTTTTACCATCTTACATAAGAGAACAGTCAGGTTTATAACGTCCTCTGGCTACGATTCCCACTACAGTACCATTTCTCGTAAACTACAAGTTTTTTCAAGTTTCCATGGTTATTTCATATATTTGCATATTGCTTTGTTTATGGACGATTATTATTCTAGTAGACTTTGAATGATTTATTACCACTTTTCAAAGATTTGTCAACATAAAATCAAGCTGGTCTGCACAAATTAATGTTTCTTACCCAACTTCTGACCATCTGCAAAACCCTAGGAGAAGGTTTTAAAACAAAGAGTTCTTCCAGTTTCAAGAATCTCCTGAGAGAACGTGTCATTTTTACCATTTTACGAGTACATTGATTTACTTCAAGTTTCATTTTTTTTTAGTGGCTTTGTACGTTTAAATAGCCGTGTGTTCTGTATCCCTTTATTTTCATTTTAACATTTTCATCATTTTGAAATCACTTTAGCTGGACTGGTATTCGCTATTTCTAAGAAGCTTCTGCTCTCTCTGAGTGAAAATGTTGGATCTATGAACAATTCGTCATAACTTCTTTTGAATTTGCCTCTGTAATTTTGATTCTCTAAGTTACTTGCCCTGAGGAGCTAAGATAAAGATCGATTGTTATCATTAGTGACTGATCTACCGTTTTAAACCTGTCTTATGAATTTTGATGTTTTCTTTCGCTGATTTTATCAAATTTCTCTAGTTTACCAGTTTAAGGTGAGCTGATTATTTCAACACAAGATATACCATTATACCTGAAACAAAGTTGAACATGGCAGGTGAGATTAGATTATGACCACAACTCGGGTTTATGAAGGTGAATTTGATCAAGAGCATTTATCCTCGATCACAATTTCGGGATTGAAGCACACCAGTTTAGCGCGTTAGTCTGCTCTTTGGGCGACATTACCTTTATAGATCGGTTTTAATTAAATCTCAAGATTTTCTTGTCCCTGGCTCCCACATGCATTCTAAACATTGCTATATTGTTAAAGTTTAGGGGCAGCCATGAATGCATAACCTCATGAACCATATTTGAAGGTCGTATGTTATTGAGAAAGAATCGTCAATTTTCCAATTACCTAAAACTACAAAACGGTCCCAACGTCAGTTTCCCCTACGCTAATTTATTCGACATAATTTGCCGCAGAAACACTCGCATTCCTATTTCTGCTCATACAGACTGCTTTTACTTCCTAAAACCGTCAAATTTCTAACTTTTTTAAATTGAAATTTCCCATCGGCGTGTCGGGAACGACGTAACGAGTGCAGTCTTTATAGAGTCACTTAAAGTTCCTTTAAAAGACGAGTATCAAGATGAAGAGGAGAGGATGCGAATTTTAATATAATGGATCACGTATCGTACATTAAGGCTTATTTTACGTTTTTTTTGTATCATAAAAGCCAAGTTTCCTGAGGAAGATATTGCCGATGAGTCCCCTATAAAAGGTGAGGAAAGCGATTCCAAAAATGACGATGCACCAAGTGAAGCTAAAATTCATGATAACTTGCTGCAGCTGAGAACTGAAACTCCTTGGAAGAAGGTGGAAAAACGGCAAAAGGGGACAAGGACATACGGTAAGGAATTTAATACTTCTTAGTTTATGGCATTGTAAATGATTGCCTACTTTATTTCTGCTACACACTTGCCGGTTGTATACCGAAAGAGAAAGCGGGTTTGGGTGTTGGAAGGGTAACACTCCATTATCGAGAAGTGGCTCATAGTGTCGGAATAATTGCTAGCATTAAACTTAAAATAAAGCTCTCTTTTTATAAGTTGAAGTGGAGTACTTTTGTCCAAGCTCGATAAACATGACTATGTGGATCAACTCCACTGCTTCCATTCTTCCACTCTTTCAGAGCCCAGCAGTGCCCCACAGACCCGGGGAGGAAGAGGTCAGCACAGCACTTCAAGAGGTGGTAGAGTACAAAGGGGACGAGGACATGATCGAGGCCCTAAGCCGACGCGAGGAAGAGGTGGAGCACTTTTTTCTAAGCTCGATAAACATGATTGTGTGGATCAACTCTACTGCTTCCATTCTTCTAATTTTTCAGAGCCCAGCAATGCCCAGCAGACCGGGGGAGGAAGAGGTGGTAGAGCCCAAAGGGGACGAGGACATGATCGGAGACCTACACGAGGAAGAGGAAGTATGAAAACTCTTTCTTTTTTTTATGGGAGGTGTCCATTTCCGGGTCGATTAAGGAACAACATTTTCCAGTCTCCAAGACATGTTTTCACGTATCTCTCTCCTTCAGTTGTATTTGTCGGCATAACTTTAAATTTGATACAAAGTCTGAAGTAGCGCTATATAAAAACTTTGAAAAACAAATTGATTTCCTGTACGTTTGCAATTCTTGAAGATAAGTTTAAGATTCAAATTTAACAGGAACAAATAAATTAACAACACAACAACCAAGAATCGACTGCAGATCCCAAAATCCAAAAATAACAACAAGTGTACGCCTGTATATTAAGATAATATTAATATAATATATATAATATATGTTGATCAATGTATTCGCCTCGCGATCAGCTACTTTTATGAGCGTAATTTCGGCCTGGAAATAAGTCCATCTGACTGGGAAATCCTTTTACCCTTTGAAAGATAGGTAGACTCAATTCCGTCTTGAAAGGTGCATGTGCGCATGTTAGTTCAGCTTCTCTTTACGGACATTACGAAGGCATTTGGTCGACTGATTACTAAAAAAGAACTTGGTGCTTGAGGTTTTATGCTCTATGCTGAATTTTTCTCCTAAAAATTTCTTTTTTTTCGACGCACAGTAAACCTTATCCAATCACGCATTCGTCACCGAGATGTTCCTGTGCTTGAGGCAGGCTACGTATAATAATGTTCCATTCCTATTTACCTTCCGATTCTTCACGCGGATGACTCATGCTTTGGATCCTTACGTTTGACTTTGATGTTGCTTTGTCCTACTGCCGTGTCAACCATTTTCATCATTTTACGATGATAACTTTATTTTTGTTTCACAACACTCAAAAGTTAAAAAAAATCCCAGCGAAGGTGGGCTTACTGTTTCTGTATATTGCGTTTAAAGGCCTATGTTTAAAGATTCACAACTAACGAAAGCTTGTTTTCAATTAGATGGCGTCTTCTCCCGATCGAGTGACCGAAATGGGTACATATTGAAGGACGTTAGGTACGAGAGAAACAAACTCTACGTGTTGGGCTTACACCATAGAGTGACTAAGGAATGCTTACTACACTATATTGAAAAGATTAGCAACTATGATGTGAAGCATATCCTATGGTTTAAACCTAACGGTAGAGCCATTGTGACCCTGGATCCAGAAACTATAGGTAAATTTGCATTTTGTTTCTCTAGTTTTAGCAGCAAAATTGGTCGTTACACGAGACTATTGTCTTAATCGAAGCACACAAATCATACTTTGCATTCAAAATAGGATATGAAATCGTTGAAACCGTAAAAAAAATGGATTTAATAGTATAGACCTAGAAAACTGTAGTCTTTCTTGAGGAACATCAGGGAAGGAAAGATGACTTGACGGCAGACCAAAGGGACTAAACTATTGTCTAAGCAAAACGAGTAATCGAAGGAGAAAATGGAGGAAGGAGGAAAGTAAGGAAGGAAAGATCCCTTTTGATTATCCGCACATCGCTCATTCTTATACTTCAATGAAACGATGTTATAAATGAAGCAAAATTATTGCAATCTTTGCTTCTATCTTACAGATTTTCAGAGGATTTGCCGAGAGGCCCAGAAAAGGCCACTAACCCTCAATAAGGAAAGGAAGGATGACGTCAGTGATGTACTCATTGAAAGAGCACCAGTTTGCAAGAGTATATTTGTTCGTGGAATTCCCTTGAATACGCCAGAGGAGGAAATCGAAAATCACTTTGAAAAACTTGGAATAGTGGAGAAGTTTTGCTTCAACACTAAAGAAGTGAAAGAAAGAAGAGCCAAGGAAATGAGAGCAATAGTATACTTTAAGAGTGAAAAAAGTATGTCGACCAGACATTTGAAGAATTAACAATAACAATACAGAGCGCTGTGTAGGAGTAAGATCTTGTGTTAGTCTTCATAAAATCTAACGATAAGTAGCTCTAATGATATCCAGCAATATCTCACGGCTTGCTTCGATCAACACCAGAGAGAGTTGACTTCTTTTTTTTCTGTCAGTTAGCTTCATTCTATGCATTTTACATTTTATGTTAATAAATTTATTAGTTTAGTCACTTATATTTCTATCTTAGTTACCAACATGTTTGATCCGTGTACTTTGGCCCTATATCGTCTAGGTGTAAAGAAGATTGTCGATAATGATAACTTTCTTGATGGCACCTTACTGGCTGTGGAGAGGTACTATCCTTTCATGGGCACCGTAGAACCTGTTGACTCCAAAATTCCACAATATACCGAGAGCAAGATTCCATTATGCGAAGGTCCTTATTTCCGGATGGTTGTAGATCAGGATACCATTGAATTTGTCATGAGTAAGAGCAACCGCGGGCTTGAATTACAAGAAAAGCTCAGTGCAGAGCGAGCAAACATAAATTGGACCAATAAAGATGGATATGTGCTGGTCAAATACAATTCCAAGGGTCACAAAAGAGACAACGAATTTGACGATCAGGATTGGGAAGAACGTTGTCGCCACATCCTTAGTGATCTTCTGGATCGATTCACTTTGAAAGACATTCCAGTCGAGAAAGAAATCTGGAAACAAGTTATCAATGAGTTACCCCAGATTGAGAGTTTGTTTCCCAACTATTCAGCTCAAATAAAAAAATTTGATGATCTCGAGGAGCTAAGATTGATCTGTCTCAAAACAGATATGCCAGAGTTTGAAAAGAAACTTTTAAATCGAATTGAAGAAGTAAAACAAGCGGAGCTGGAGAAGACTCTTGAACACAAAACGTTGACAAACTTTCCTATTGTGATTCTCAAGCTTATGGAAATGGTTGGCATTCAGAGTATTTTAAAGGAAAATGTCCATCAAGATATTCAAACCAGAATAGAGCTAGCACAAAAAAGTATTTTCATCAAGACACCTCAAGGCCAGATGTCAGCTGCAGTCGCGTATCTTCGAGAACGCGAAAAAGAAGTAAAGCAGAATTCAACGCAAAGCCCTCCAGAAATTATTGGTATCTTAAAGACAAAAGTTGGAAAACGTAAGTTGAATACTGAATTCAAGGAATCCAACCTCCATTGTACCTTCAATATCGATGAGAGCAACAACAAGATTCTGTTCTTGGGAAGAGCTCCTGAAGACACAGTTAGAGGCCGTAAAGTGGCTGAGGCGACGCTGATCACTGGCAGACTTCACATCAAAGATAGAGACAACGATATCCTGCAATCAGACGAATGGAAACAACTTTGCCGCAACTTTGAAAAACGTTCTAAAGTTCGTTGTCAAAGAGGGTCAGTGACAGAATTTCATGTTTTTGGATTCAAGAAAGGCGTCGATGAAGTTGTAAAAGCATTGACTAAATTTTTAAACGAGAAGAAAGCGAAGGAAGGAGAATTCAGATTCAATTCGCCGGTCCATCAAAGACTGTTCCGTGAATTTTACAAAGATGAGATAACGAAACTTGAAGAGAGCCTTTCGTTGTATTCAGTAAAAATTTCTTGGGAGGAAAATGGAGATATGCATTTCACTGGGGCTGTTGAGGGCGTGAAGGAAGTTACGAACAAATTGAATGCTATGCAGGACGATATAACAGAGGAAACTTTTAAGGTTATCTTGCCAGGGATGCGAAGTTTCCTGGCGAAAAACAAAGGGGAAGTCGTCGGAGTTGTAGAAAAAGAAAATGAGTGCGTCATCGAAATACAAGAGTGTATGGGAGAATGGCAAGACCCGGATGACGTTGATGAAACTTCGAGCATAAGTTCTGAAGAGGAAGCCTTTGATGAAGATGATGACACCATAGTAACCCAGGAAGGCAAGAAGATTATCTGGAAAATTGGAAAAATTGAGGAAGAAGAGGTATGCAAAGAACCCTTGATTGTCTCTGGGTCATACTCAAAACGAACCTTTTCACTTATTTAGCCTTCTGAGGACAAAATATTACGTATACTTGTTATTTGGTAAAACACTTGAAAAAAGGGAAGTTATACGTGGAAACCAAAGATAATACCCCATTACAAGTGTATTCACTACAACGAATAAACCACAACTGCTATAAATCTATAAACATTTAGGAAAAAAAAGGGCGAACAAGAAATTTTTGCATAAACCAGTGACTATGAGCTACCTGAATTAAGCTTAAATTTCCCTCGAATTTTTCTCACAACGATGAAATTTTTTTAATAGGCGGAAGTATTAGTGTGTTCAGTTGGCTCAAATTTGAAGTTGTCCATCGGCGCAGTGGCGCGAGCTTTCAACGAAA